GTCTGTCTCTTTCACATCTGTGAATCATTATTCTGTCCCCTCTCCCGACTTTTTGTTACTTTGATGTTCCTCCTCCCTGTGAAACCCGAAGTCAACTAAACTGCTAATGATAACTATCAAAACGCCTTCCATTTGAAATAATTAAATAAATAAATCTATTCGATTTCATCATATAACTCGTGTTTGTAAGCAATGAGTAAGCTGTCGGTTGATCACATCCGGTTGTCTCCGTCATTATCAACCATGCACTCTAGCTTTTTACTCATAAAGGAGTTTTTTAAGAGGATGGCCAAGTTAGTGGTGCATTTATTAACACCTGGCTAATTGTCTTCCCATAACAAATTCATTTGAAAGAGAACCTACAGCTACAACTGAGGCAATGCAGTACGGGGGAAGACTATTGAGTGTTTCTGTGAGAGAATCCACTGAGGCCTCGTAGATAGCATGAACCAGGCACACTGTAAGAACCTGCAATTCCGTTACTCTTCGCTTTTTCTTCCCCTGCTCTGCTGCCGTAAGAATTCCCGCGATTCCTTTAGTATTTGCCACCTCCAGACTAGTAGTCGTTGATTGTGATGTAGAGAGGATCTTTGGTCTGATGGCTAGATTCCCTAGTCTACTATTTGACCTGCTGACTTTCCCCCTTGTAGCCTGTGGAAGGGGTGGAAGGGTTTTTCTTGTATGTGTGGATTCTAAAACGTTGAAGAGGAAGGAAGCGATAGCATTGTCTAGCAGTAGTTGAACGCGGTTGGGGCTGCAATGGTATATAATTATATATATATTATAACATAATTCACCGGAAAAAAAACAAATATAAATTTTTTCTTTTAGGAAAACAGTAAACTGAGCTAGTTAACGCTTAATAAGTTTTGAGAAGAATGGGTCGAAAGAGAGTGCCCCAAAGTTCCCGCTTGAAATATTTTTTAATGGGTACCACATGGGTACTCCATTGTCAATGTTCCAAATTCATATTTCATTCTTCTTTTTCGAAATCTTCAGTGTTTATTGAGCGAGTTCTCTCCTTCGAGGACCCACTCAACCTTTCAAGAGTCCACAAAAAGGCGAATGATTTTGAATAGTTTACATGATCTCCAAAGGGCCGGATCGTTATATTGCTGATTGCTGTCGTTTCAAATTGTGACACAAAAATCTCAGCTTTTAATTCCAGAAAGGCTCCTCTATCCACAAAGAGTCAGATTTGTTCAAAAAGTGTAGAAAGGAGGATAGATTAGAGCCTTACAAAATCTAATTTTATATTTCATTTTTAATTCTTATCAGCCACTATATCACTAAATATGGGCATTTATTCGCATCAAGACATAATAAGAGAAAGCGCTGTTACTTACTAACAAAATTATCTTTACCGCATGGGGTGTGCGATAGACTTACCTCCACATGATCCACCCTGGGCAACGTATACTCGTACGGTAAGAAGTCTATAAACTGGCAGTTGACTTCTCACTTCAAACTACCATCACCCCACTGTATGGCATATTCGACTACTTCCCCAGTACTCACCTCACCTTTTTCTATCCTTGTATCTGTCTCTTCTACATCTTTGAAACACTCCTCTGTTCCCCCCCCCATCTCGACTCTTTTCACTTTGATGTTCCTTCCCCTCTGTGATCCCTGAAGGTAACTAAAGGGCTAATGCGAACTATCAAAACACCTTCCATTTGAATTTAATATTCTGTCATCCAATGTAAATGTTCAAGCTATAAATACATTCCTCGAGACCTGACAAGATTCCAATTTTATTATCATACCAGTAAATCTGAATTTAAAATCTAGTCTATTAGAAGACATTTTGTCTGAAGTAGTTGACTAATCATCCCAATTGCAAGTATTGATCAATAGTCCCTGAATACAAGGAAAATGATACCACACAGCACAAGATGAGCAAAGCCTAAAGTCTGAACAATCACGTAAACAGTACCTTTACACTCTGAAGCCAAAACCAAATTTACAGACACCCTTCGGTGCTCTAGTTCTCTTCTACTTTTATTAATTAAATTATATCGTAAAAATGATTATTCAAAGTTAAATCTAAAGAATAAATTCAAAAAACTGGAAGAGCGTGATAGTTTAGCTTTTATTGAACCATTTCAATGTTTAAAAGTCGTCGGGATTTCCTTTGATGAAAAATCGTAAAGAAAGTCAATAAAAGGAAGCTATTAATCGATAATCACTTTTACCACCCCTTTGCTGGAAGCAAGTGATGTAGTCAGTAAAATTGATAGAAATAATCGATACTTTTTTCTTTAGCATTTGAATAAGTTACTGACGCCGAGTAGCGAGGTTTTAGATTAGCTTAGCCGGTGACATTTCCGGTTATTACTTCAGCGCACACTTGACATTTAGCCTTTATCTCGTAAGCTTGACTGTTTCTTTAAGCCCCTTCCATTCTAAACCTACTTTTTTAATTACGGATATTGAAATATTTCAAACCTTCAAGTCGTACACAGTTGGAGTAGCTATTAGCACATACGCCTACATAGCCAGAGGTCATAGAATTAGAAAGGCATGGCCAATTGCTAATCATTTCACTTGACATAAATCTCTTCAGACTTACCAGCTTTTCAAGAAGCTCAGGAGAACAAGAAGACAGTTTCGAAAAGCCAGCGTATCCTCCACAAAGTAATGATAACTCAAAATCTAAATAAAGCAAATTTAAAAAGGAAGTGTTTATGATAGTCATTTTATATTTCAATCAGTCCTTCTAATATGATATTTAATAAAGCGAAATAGGGCTTAGTTAAGGGATCGACAGAATAATCTTTAAATTTAAATAATAAAGAAGTACTCATGGCTTAGCAAAACTATCCCATTCTTTGTCAGCTGCCAAAGACTGTGTGCAAGAGTGGATAAACGCACGGCAGCTAGCGTAAGCCAAAAGATGAATGCGACAGTTGGAAGGGGCATTCAAACGCACTTTAGGGAACTGTCGAATTACTAGTTAGTTAGGTTATGCCAGTTGAATCTCCATCCATTTCGACCATCGTAGGAACCAAGCAAGTAAACAAGAATTTTGTTTTTGCTATCATGTTTCAGCTAGTATGAAGCAATACCATTTCCAATACTATAATGTGGTTACTCTCTTGGTTGACGCTGACGGAGAATATAGCTGTATTTAAAAAAATTTCAAGAATTCTAAGAACCATGTTTGGGTTTTCAAGCACAGATGAGATGAGATCTAGATAAGCTTATAAGAGTGCTATCCCATCATCACCTCTAAAGAATTGCTGATTCAGTCGATGACATATTTAAAAAATGAACTTGAAATAAAACTTGATTGGGCAACAAAGGTAAAACAATTCAAAACACTACCGCTTCTTCGTTAGCATTGGCTATAATTGCCTACTTCCAAGACTAAGAGGAGGAAGACAGGCTACTTGTAACACTATGTGCACCCTCTCCCCACCCCCCACTTCTCCCTCCATCTTTCGTTACTAAGAAATTAGTTCGGAACATGCATAACTTTTTGGACTTGAGAATTGGCTAACTTCTCGCTTATTCAATAGCCTTAGGGATAATTGTTCCAGTGGTGATGCTACATACCCAGTTGCTTGCGGAGAAATCCAATAATCGATAATCAAAGTATAAGGGAGATAAGGCTTGAGAGTTTCACTCAGGCAAATTAAGACATTTAACACACGGCAGTATTGGTGCCAAGCAATTTGGTATTTTACAAGGCGGGCTAACAATTAAAAAATGTCAGTCTGTACAGACTGAAATACTAAAATCAACCAACATTCCTATTTTTTTCTTGCAAATTGTGCGACTCCAAAACTTTTTTTCGATAGGAAGGCTAGCCACGACTAGTCGTTAGTGAATGAAAATGTTCTACCAATTCATTTTCTAACTCGAATGTAGTAGTAGACCCAGAAATTCCTTTTGACTATTGTCCAATCAATTGTAAGGAACATCTGTGTAGGCGGAAAGGAAGAATTGTGCCCAATGAGTGGGGAACGCGTTTATGCCATTTAAAGTCTGAAGTTTCATTAAATCGTATGAGCGAAGTTAATCAAAAAATCTAGAATGGTGAAATGGACTAATTTATTAAATTATTCATGACTGATTTCATTATTATTATTATTAATTCTAAAATTGTAATCTTAATTCCCAAGCTAATAGTAGCACTTAACCTAATTTGCCAAAAGTCTCCAAAGTATTGATCTTAATATTTTAAACCTTTTACTCGCTAAAGAAATTAAAATATCGACTATTTATCCAACGAATGCCGGGAATGAACAACCATAACATGGGTGACTAATGCGATCAAGAAATTCAAGCACACATCACTAAAGCAACCATCAACCTGAAAGTAAACATGAACATGTTTATGTTGTAAAGGGTGGGTCCAAACTCTGTTAAATAGGACAAATTCCATTTCGGATACAATCTAGCATCATGGCTTGAAAATAAACTCGGAAGTGGTGCGGCAAAATCAATATTTTATTAAAATATTTGATTCTGAGTTTAAGAGCCTGTCAACTAGAATGGAGTTGGGGAAATTCGGGAGCCAAACATGTGTTGAGGCTGGTGTAGAAGCAAAAATTGGCTGAAAACTATATTTTACCTTTTGCCTGAGATGTGGCAAGGCCTACTACAGACTTCCCTCATTCGTTATACATGGCTTAACTGCTAAGTTGTCAACAATTTCAGGCAGACACCTATATTCAGCCTAGGTCCCGCTTTGAAGCAACGCGAAAGGCAGCATCATACTGCATCACCCTTGGTGGAGGTTGTCAAATCCGAAAAATATGATGGTTCGGGGAAATTTAGTCGACAAGACTCGATAAGTGTTTTATGGACAGTATGCAAGTTAAATTCTCTCTCTCATTCTGTGCTGTACTACTGATTTTGGCACAAGTTTTCCTTATCGGAAAAGAACCAGATATTTTGTACTTCAGTGGGAAGTTCCACTCTGGTTAGAAGTCTTAACTCCACTCTCAAACGGTTTTAGCGGATATTTGGTAAGAAGTTGACTTTGAAACCCTTTTTCGTATGATTAGTAGCAAAAGTATTCAATGAGAGCAAGCTTTATGGTCGAGAATAAAGTATTCAAGTAATTGTAGTGAATAAAGCTCGAGTTCCAATGTTAATGCATTCCAGTTCTCTCTTATTTAAGATCGCGATTGATCACAGAAACCTTTTCATTGACATCTTTAGCAGCTGCAAAAGCGGGAATCTCGGTAAATACAGGATGCCTAATAGAATATGGTGAAAGACTAGAAGATGGACGTAATAGAAACATCTACTTGTTTAGCCGAGAGAGCTTTTGCTATTGTGAATTGGCCGGGGAGAAATATGGGAAATAAGGCTATAAATATAGCCTTCATAATCGATTGTTGCAGACTAAAGATTGAAAATTTTCAATATGCAGAAAGAGCAAACATAGAACTTGTGATATTTCTTCAATGTTCCCCCAATTAAGAAACTATGCACCACAATATTCAAACTGGTATTATTAGCACAATTTCAAAATTAATAAATAAAGATTTGTGGAGTTGAAACCAAGTCTTATTTCAACCCATTTCATGTTTATTTTCAACCTCTACACAACTTTTTTTCTAAATTTTAAGAAATTTAAAGCACGTGAATAAACTTAAATCACAAATATCACACAAAAATAGCGAATTCATTGTAGTAAGTAAAATGACTGAATAGCGGTCAAAGCTGGAGGTGTGACGACAGTGATGTCAAAATTATTTAAATGGATCTATTGAATGCGAAGATAACGGAATACCAGCGTGCACATACGCATTAATAGCCAATCGAACAGATGTTTACGTGGACGAATGGAGAAACTAAGTGCAATTATACTGTACATATGGCAGCCTGTTCAATTCAGTGCTCTTGCGAAAGTGACTAACCATTGAAAATGGAAGACGCACCTTTATTATAATTTCATCCGACACTTCATTCCAATCCAACCAATTTGTATTGAAGGGAAAATCAATAATGTCTATCCCGCGTTCGGTTTCGAGGATCAACTCATCATAGGAGATTAGAAATGATAGGCCACTGAGTGTTTGGCGCCAGAGTTGGACTTTAAGATCGGACTTCAGTTCTGCACATTGACTAAAATAGAAATTTAATTGTAAGTATGCAGTGATATTGAATTGGGCTATTCCTGTTAATCGTTTAAAAGCATTGTTTCTATAACTATTTTTGAGTAAGTATCTCGTTACGTGGTCTTCGCTCTTATTCTAATCACTAATACAACGAATATTTTGTACATGACCTTGTCCTCTTCAGATCCCGTGTCATTCAAGATCGTAAAGCTAGTAAATGCCGCAATTTACAAAGTTTCCACTATTATCCAATAACGGCGCTAAAAACTAGGATGAAAAAGTTCATTTAATTACAAAAGGCACCAAACGAAAACGAACTTAATGGAAGAAATGAGATTGAAGAGGGTTTTAACGCCGTTATTTTTAACAAAGCTGGCAACAAATTCATCACAATAAAGGTAATTCAGAGTTTCCTCAATTCTCTCAGAGAGATTGTCGATTTCACCATGCCTTTCGGGATTGAGTAAGCATTCGCAAATACATGCCATCAAGGAAGCTAGCTCCTTTGCAGAGATTTCTGGTGACAAGACTAGTTCTAGGAGATCATTGCTAAGGAGAAAGCTTTTCTAAATATCAAAATGATTAAAAAGGACTTTATCGTACCGTTTCAGATAAGTAACGGACCAGCATATTGCCGGAAAAAATGCCCAGTCGAAATTTAGACGCATCAATTTTATATTCTTGAAAGCTAGAAAGAAATGCATTAATCTAATTGAAAACGTACGATTCCACAATAAATCTCATCATTTCATCCATAGGCATATTCTAATGTAAAGATTGACGCTACTAATATAATCATACCCTTGGAATATGAAAACTCTTGATATTTGAGCGATATTTGACTTTGAATACAATGAGTTCACTTTTTGCATAGTTGCAGGTTTTCGATGATTCCGACATCTAAATTGTATTATTGAACAAAACTCCATGAAAATAATAAACAAATGAAAATGAATGACCATTTAAAGCGAATATTTTTAATGATTTACAGAAACATTCTTATTTAAATACTAAATAACACACATTCTAACCCTAAAATGAATTTGAGTCAATCCGAAATGTGCGCGTTTGTAGCACCTGATAATCTGTGTATCCCAAGGTCGGGTGAACGATATAAAATACTATTTCATGCTTCTTAGTATTAAAAATATATTAATATATTTGAAGCATTTATCCTTTTCTGTCTTATCTGTTTAATGATACCAATTATTATCAGTTTAACGGAAGTTAACTTTTTAATATCTATAGCATTGATATAAGATACATGGATAATAATAGATCTCTTTAATCTAAGCTAAAAATGAATTCGCATAAACTTGTAGGATTTTTAGAGAATCGTAAGGTGAAACTGTTGTTTTGTATTTGATGGACAAGCTATTTCTTATTAACGTAATTAAGTAACTGGGAATCTCTAATTGATTTAATTTTTAAATCAAGTTAAATGCAAAAAGTACTTTAGCTTTAAAAATGTAAAAGATTAATAATTAAAAGCAGAATAATAATGTAAGTAAATTCCATGTGAACGCCCCATGGATCAATATTTCAACTGATAACGAAAATATAAGTTTTCATCATGCTTATCTATGCTTCTTAATGTTGCATAATTTTTTATCTTGCAACAGTTAATACCTTAAAAATTAAGCCAATTTATAAACATGAATCAGACATTCAGAACTTTTAAATAGGACTAAATTTACTCTTATTCTTTTATGAAGTACTGGTTTTCGTAATAAGCCTTATTCCAAGATTAATTTTAACACCTTCATATCTGTAAACTATTTTATTTAAATGTATAAAAAATAAATTTTACCAAAATTTGATTTCATTATGCTTTATAATTTTTTATAATATCTTATTCCAAACGTCCTGTGTTATAGTTACCTTCAAATTTGTCCCACTTTTTTCGACTTCTGTCACATTATTAACATGCAAGACGACGCCGGTGGTTTTGTTGATCTTTATATTCCTAGAAGTTGCGACGTTAGCAACCAAACTATTGGTGCTAAAGATCATGCTTCCATCTCTTTGAGACTTGCCGAAGTCGATAAGAAGACCGGTCGCATGAACGGAAAGTTCAGGACTTTCAACATTTCAGGCGCTATTCGCAACATGGGTGAATGCGACGATTCGCTAAACAGACTTGCTGTTAAGGCCAATATGCTCCCAAAGTAAGCCTTCGCATTATTTTAAATCTTTTATTTTCTAGGGACTTCTGCTCGAACTCCTGAATTTGATGCGTTTACACTATTCAATAAAGGGATATTTGAAATACTTTGTTTTTTAATATTCTACACATGTTAGTCCGTTATATCCTTTACGTAAGATTGCAAAATTGATACTAGATTTCACTTGCTTAATGTGTCTTGCTGTTGGCCTGCGATGCGTTTTAAAAAGCACGGACTCTCGTCTTAGTGCTTTTGGTTCTATTATTCGACTTGCTCCTCACTTTAATTGCGTTGTTTGATTCAATTGATGCCAACTCGTCGCAGTAATTTTTGATCGGTTTAAAGTTCTCAAATGGTTTTTCCATCGTTTTTAAAGCCTTCAGGTATTGCTCAGATTCTAATTTTGCTTGTGCTGGTATGTTATCCGTAGTAAAGGATTTTATTTTGCCTCACTTGATGCGTTAACATCTGGTGTCTGTTTCATTTGAAGCTTCAGGTCTGATTATTTTAAACATATGTTGATTGATGATGATAGGTGTTGCAATCAAATGGAAATGTAAATCAAGTTCACATTATGGCCAATTTTAAAGTGGAACTGGTGCTTCTCCGAGGCATCATTAATATTCAGTCTTGGAGATGGTACTTTTTAAACTGGATGCTAGTTGAAATAGCTTTGCGAATGCCGGTAACTGCCATTGATGTTCCTTTAATTTGTGTGTGTATGTTACCTAAATTAGGAAGCGTATTTACCACCACTGAATGGACTTAAATTTGTATGTACACTGTCCTTCCGAAGATGTTTTCATATAGTTTCGATATAATCCATGGCTGAATTCACTATTTTTCTGATGAAGTCTAGGTGGATGGTTTCATGAACGAGGCCTTATGGGTTGCGTCTTAATTACGTAGAACTTGATTTGCTTTACCCGGAATCAAGGTGTGAATAGAATGTTTGGCTTACTGACCTATTTGATTTGCTGCATTTGTTTATTAAGAGCTTCGATTACCCTTAATGCTTCAGTTGGATAGCTAATACTATAGACTAGGATTAATGGAAATCAAATGTGTTTTATCTGAGGATGCTTAACGACGAGCAGCTACTCGCGTTTGTAGGTTGCAGTGCGCATTCCGTGGTGTGCTCCTATTGCAGTGGCGAAGTTCTTATTCCTGTTGTGGTTTAAGGTTGCGTTAGGCACGCTTTATCTACGATTACATCTGAAGTATGTGTTATTTCCCCCCATCTCCTAATTATAATGTGGTTTTGTTATTGATAGACTCAAGATTTATTTATTCAGACTTTAAAGAAGTTAAACATTGAAGCGAGAAAAATTCAAAATGAACCACGGATGAGAGATTGACAGCTATAAAATAGGCAAAGGAAATGCAAGGTGAGCACTGTAGAGGTGGTGGGGTATGACATACAGTGGGGTCAGTAATTTGAAGTGGGAGTTAAACTGTCCAGGGTGCACCACATGGAAGTAAGTCTACCGTACACTCCACATCCTTGGAATAAGTTCATGGACATTATTGGCTGTGATATTATACGGACTTTCCATTTTGGATCGTTAATGCTATGCTTTTTGAAGGATCTATTCTAATGCGCAAACTTACCATTGGTGTGGGTTAGCCAATGGACTAATCTTTCAATCCAGGCATTCGTCAGGGGAGCGCTCACCAATTGACGCATTGAAAAAGTTCGATCTGTGTGCCGCAGCTATTAGGGTTGTAATGGTTCATTTAGCATTGCGTTGCAACATTTTGTTCCGATATTTTTTCAAATTTATTCCAACAATCTTTCATATAGGTAGATATTTGATTTCCTACATTCTATCTTGCCTAATATAAATATTGCACTAAGAAAAAAATGTAGACAGCTCTGTGGGACACGTTATCGCTCTGTGCGTCATCGTATGCCGGCATGTTGCTCGCCAGGATTGGGAGGTGCGGGTACAACTCTGTGTGCAGTGACCAATCATCAACATCTGTTTAACCTGTGGGACACGTCATCACATGCCAGCACACCAGGATTGGGAGGTGCGACCGTACAAACAGTGACCAACCATTATCCTGCGTGTACACTTTATCCGCAATATACTTATTGAATAGACGTGCTCCGTGCTACACGTCTGTTTCCTTTATAGCTGGGCTATAGCTTAGCTAGTTCTGGGAGTCTAGCTAGATTTTGGAGAATCTGCCATAGAGATTTCTGAGTCGGTCAGGCTTTACTAAGGTAGCAATCCGCTACAGCTTCATAGAAAAGGTTAATTATGGCTCCAAATAACCCTAACCCGAGAATTAAAATATTCTGAGCCTCAGTGTGACTGTTTTCAACCATGTGACCAGCCTTTGTTTCGACTTTTTTAAATTTATCCGCTTTTACTAATAGGGCATATGTTAAATCAAACTAGATATAATGAAATTGATATAAAATAATGATTTTAACGTTCAAAGATGTTATAGTCAAGTAATCTTTCAGGGTTACATGTTTTCATTTCGAACTAATTTATTTACATTTTAACTCTACTACCAAAATTTTGAAAGGTTATGTAGCGGATTGCTACGCTAGTAAAGCCTGGCTTAAGTCTCAGAAACCTTTGTGATAGATTCTCCTAATTACTGAGTCTCCAGAAGAAAGAGACGTATCACTGAAACGTTTATTCACCAGATAAGGATAGCGAATTGTTTTTTTGGCAAAGCGATTAGTTATCAGATAAATCTAGCATAATTCGCGTGAACATTAATAGCTAAGTATCTCTGAGTAGTGTTCTGTAGCAGGATTTCTATTGGTCATTGATGAAGTGTCCCACAATACTCCCCCTTTAGAGCGTTTGTAGGAGCCTAAAAGGGGAAATCAAACGCTCGACGTACTGAATGCGCATAGTCGGCCAGCCGGGGGGGGGGGGAGGTAACTTTTCGGTCGTCCCGAGTGTAATAGGTTCAGGTTGAAGAGGGACAGAAGGGGAAACTGCAGAGGCCGAAGTATCTTCGGGTAGGGATTGTAGTGGTGGGGGAGACAAGGGTGGTATAGGATCTTCGGCTGTTGAGGTAGTAGGACCGGACGGGTGATTCCTAACTGCGGGCTTTGGTATAGGGCACTCCAGGCAAGACGGCTTTAAATGGTCGATACTGACGGAGTCCTTGGTGCCGTTGCGGTCAAGAATGAAATATTTTGGTTTGCGTTTGACGACTTTGTAAGGTCCTTCGTACGGTGGTTGTAGGGGTCTTTTTACTGAATCAACTCGAGCGAAAACGAAGGGACTTGTAGATAAATCGTTATGGATATACACTGGCGTGGTATTCGAACGGGTTGGTGTTGGACGGAAATGGTCTTTTAATTGGGTGGAATAGGATAATGGGTCTACGGTAGTATGTTTTTAGGAGTCCAAGATCATTTCTCCCGGTAGCCTTAGCGTAGTACCAAATACTAGTTCCGCCGGGCAGCATCCAAGTTCTTCTTTCACAGTACTCCTAATAGACAGGAGGATGATGGGAAGACGTTCTGCCCAGTTAACGCCGGCCGAACTAGCGATGATAGCAGACTTAAGCTGTCGATGAAAACGCTCTACTAAGCCGTTGCTCTCCGGTGGTGCGTATGTGTGTCGAGCCCAAGAGTTGGTTTAACTCCTGAAACAACGTAGAAGTGAATTGGGGTCCCCTGTCAGAAATTATTACGGCGGGAACTCCGAAAATGGATATCCACGAATCCATTAGTGTCATCGCCACCATCGTAGCAGTAGTGCCGCGTATGGGTACTGCGATTGGCCAACGTGTAAATCGGTCGATACATGTTAGGATATGTGTATAGGAGTTCGAAGGTGACAGCGGACCCACAATATCAACATGTACATAGCGAAAACATGCTTCGGGAAGAGGGTAAGTGGCGAGCGGGCTGCGAGAATGTTTTTGGACCTTGCTGGCCTGACAAATGAGGCAATGTTTGGCCCAATGACGGACGTCCTGCCGGATGTTTTTCCAAACAAAACGGTCGGTGATCAACTTCGTTGTGGAACGAATGCTCGGTTGCGATAAACCGTGAAAATGATCAAAAATCTTCCGGTGATATGCTTGCGAGACAAATGGTCACGGCTTGTCGGTTGAAACATCGCAATGGATTTGTGTATCGGAGTCTGGTAGGGGTAAGCATTCGAAATGTAACGAAGGGTTGGATGTAATTTCGGTGAAATCTGGATGCGACTTTTGTTCAGTGGCCAGAATTTGCAAATCGAGAGAGAGAGTGCCCCTATTTGGTTCAACTCCATGCGAGATATTGCAACAGCACCGTTACTCGCGCCGTCAATATGGCGAATATCATTTGTGAATTGTAAGACGAAATCGGAATGACGAGTTTCCCTGGGGGAGTGGTGATCTGAGGTGGCCTGGAACGCATAAATTAGGGGCTTGTGGTTGGTAAATATTGTAAACTGAGGGGCCTTCCAATATATGACGAAAGTGTTTGACTGCCAGGTAGATGGCGAGTAATTCTCTACCGAACGTACTATAACGAGTTTTAGTAGCGGTGAGCTTCTTGGAGAAGGAGTGGTTGGATTTCGCCTCTAACTACCTGTTGCAGAGCTGCTCCGACGGCCACTTGAGATGCATCTGTCTTTAATACTATTCGTGTCTAGCTGGAAGTGTCGAGGTGGTTTAGGGTAGTCGCCCTGGAGAGCAGTTGTTTCACTTCCGTGAACGCGGACTCAGCCTCTGATGTCACTCGGAAGTGTTTTGGGTTACCTTTCAGTAGATCCGTGAAAGGTTGGAGTACTTGAGCGCAGTTGGGGATGAATCTTCCGTAATAGTTCACAATCCCCAAGAAACGACGAAGACTCTTTACTGATTGGGGCATTGGGTAATCCAGGATGGACTGTGTCTTCTCAGGTAAGGGAGCGATTCCATGCGCATTGATGAGGTGGCCTAGGAATTCAATTTCGTCCTGGCCGAGCTTACTCTTCTCGGGGTTCACCGTGATCCCGTACTCCTATAGACGTTTGAATACTTGGCGTAGATGTTGCCTGTGCTCCTCTGGGTTGGAGCTGGTGATGAGTACATCATCGATATAAACGTAAACGTAATCTAGCCCACGGAAGACTTGATCCATGAATCTTTGGAAGGATTGGGCGGCGTTGCGTAAACCGAAAGGCATACGTTAATATTCGAACAGGCCGAATGGTGTAATTATATCCGTCTTCGCGATATCTTCTGGGGCCATTAGAATTTGGTGATAGGCTCGAACTAGATCGATCTTGGAGAAAAATGACTTTTCCATGCAATTGTAATGAAAAGTCGTGAATGTGGGGTATGGGGTACCTGTCTGGCAATGTAATGCTATTGAGTGCCCGGTAGTCTCCACATGGCCTCCAGTCACCGTTTTTTTTGCGACCATATGCAGTGGGGAAGCCCATGGGCTGTTTGAAGGTCTAACGATTCCTAAAGTAACCATGTGTTCAAATTCTTGTTTTGCCGCCTGTAGTTTATCGGGGTGTAGGCGTCGGGCTCTAGCGAAAACAGATTGCCCTTTTGTGGTAATATGGTGCTGGACACTATGCTTGGTCCCTGGAATGTCTGATTGGGAACGAAAGATGGAGGGAAATTCTGATAGAATGTTCGAGTAGCAGTTATCTACCGGGAAGAGCCCGTTCAAACCAACAGATCCTAAGGGCCGTTTCGAGCCGATCACGCGCATGGATGTAAGATTGTCCAGTAGAGCGTTGTCTTTGAGATGGACTAATAACTGGAAGCTTGAGGAAATCGGCACCAATAATGGGCTGTTGGACGTCCGAAATATAGAAGGTAAACGGGAACTCTTGACAGAGGCCTAGGTCCAGATTAAGGAACTTTTGTCCATAGACCTGTATTTGGGCATTATTAGCTGCTACGAGGGAGGTCCTGGTGGCTGGAGTATAGCGTTGTTTTGTAGACCGCGGAATAACACTGACTTCGGAACCTGTGTCCACCAAAAATGTAAGTTAGCGATTCTTGTCTGTAATGTATAGCAGGCGACTAGGGTATCTGCCAGGATCAGGCGTCGACTTTACTGTCTGCCGCGTTCTTTTCCCGCCGGACTGCGTTGTTGGTGTTTGCGGTATTGACACCAAGGGGTACATTTTTTTGCGTTATCTCCGTAGGTGCGATGATAATAACAGATAGTGTCTTCATTTTCTGTTAAATTCTGTCGTTTTCTGGATGAAAATGCACGTTGACGCTTGGATTGTGAAGAAAAATTTTAGATGATTGTTTTAAGTTCTTGGAACTGGTCTGTAAGGTTGTCCAATCGTTGCGACATACTGTCAGATGGGACTTAAGTTCTTACAGTGTGGACTCTAGGTGTACTACCACGTCGATGAATGCGGTCGGCCACTTCAGCCAATTTGTCTAGGTCGTCTTGATATGGGCTAGCCAAGAGTTGGGTGGCTAGGTGTTCTGGGAGTTTGTCTAACCACAGTTCCCTTAGCATTCTTGTGAACACATCCTCGGGACCGACCGTAGAACGCACATAACGTAAAAGTTGAGATTGTGTTCTATCACCGAGTTCGGATTCTGTAGAAAGATTTTCTATACGTTTTTCTGCAGAAGCAGATAGGTGTCCAATAATAGCCTGTTTGAGCAGATCGTATGAATTGTTGTCTGGCGTTCTAGTAACTAGATCTTGAAATGGTTGTAGGATATCACTTGGTAATGCTACCGTTAGGTGAACGAACCAGTTGGTACGTTTTGAGATACCACTAATCTTGAGAGTATTTTCGAACTGAACGAACCAGATTTCTGCACAACCGGGATTAAAGGTCGGCCAGCTCGGGATGATAGTAGATTGGTTGTTGTCTGTTTCTTTGGGCATAATGTTGTAAATAGGAAAGATCGATGGGAGAGTTGGATGGAGGTTGACTGACCGGGTACGATTGAGCGGTCAAATAAATTCGTATCACCAAAATGAGGTTGTACTACTACTGAGCGGATGTAGTCAGGCTTGGATCACGTCAGGGTCACCAATTTGTAGCGGATTGCTACGCTAGTAAAGCCTGGCTTAAGTCTCAGAAACCTTTGTAATAGATTCTCCTAATTACTGAGTCTCCAGAAGAAAGAGACGTATCACTGAAACGTCTATTCACCAGATAAGGATAGCGAATTTTGTTTTTTTTGGCAAAGCGATTAGTTACCGGATAAATCTAGCATAATTCGCGTGAGCATTAATAGCTAAGTATCTCTGAGTAGTGTTCTGTAGCAGGATTTCTATTGGTCATTGATGAAGTGTCCCACAGGTACATGGAAATGGTAACTATCCTGATTATTTTGAACAGACTGGACAGTGAAGAAATGAGAAACGCGGTATTTCCAAATAATCATTCACCAATTTTTTTTAATGTTTTATCTTTGTGTTTTTTTTAAGAACTGTACTTTTAAACTTTTCCTAAATATTTAAATCGTAGCGTTTTTCGGTAATGTGGAGCGCCATAATACTCTTATTCCCTTTGAATATCTCCATCATAATCTATTGTTTTCATTATTTAGAGTGATGAATTCAATCATGTTAAATAAATTATCATTTTTGAGATTGAAAAGCAATAATAATGATGGCATATAATTTGTCCTTCACATCTATACCATTACCAGTAATTGCAAAATTCATATTACCGCATAGTGTGAAGATAATGAAGGCGACTCGTTAAAATCCATTGTTCAGCAATCAAACATATTGTAAACAACAACAGGTTGAGTTCAGTAATGAGTGAAAATATTAAAATCTACGAATATAAAGCGAATCGTATTCTCAGCCAAAATATATAACAGACCGAGAGAGAGAGAGAGAGAGTGGGGATGAAATATAATAATTAACATTGCATTCCCTTAATATGCGACATATGAAATAATATTTAAAGTAAGAAGAAGATACCATCGCGACACTTCACTTATTATGCCGTCATCAGTCTTTAAATATCCTTCGAAGGGCAACAGTTGTACTTTCATAATATGGTGGATATCTAATTCTGAAATATAAACACATTACGATTAAATGGTAATTTAATATTATATATGCATTCAAAATATTTAATTATATAAAAGTAAAGCGAAAAATATGGATAACCATAACCTAAAAATTTCAACAACCAATTAAATAGCCAAGATAATACGGGTACTGGTATTAGGGAATAAGAAACTGGTGTACATTTTGCTTTCGGGATCTAACTGTCAAATTTTAATTTTCCTACGGTTTAATTCAATCAAGTAGATTTTATCCACTTTGAAGCCTGGTATCAAGATGAAATTTTGAAATAAACAGTTAGTCCTGAAGGAGATCTTCTCTCGCATTATTTCCCATAAAATCGATCTTATATTAGTTCAAGAATGGCTTGGCATTGTCTTCGAGAACAAAATATTTTTTGGATCTCTATATTTCCTATTTCTTTGCATTGTTTTGGTGGGTCAGTTGAAGGACAAATTTGTGGATGACCTATGCTGGTATTGTAGTGAATGAATCCCATCTATGATTCTTTAATGCTTATTCTCCTTCTTCTAAAACGAAAGGATTAGAAAACCACTCTCCTTAAACATCCAAACATCTAAATGATCAAGATCGGATCAATCCGTGATGTCATACAGTCTGGAAACCAGTTGAGCAAAAAATGGTGCCACATCGTTGCAGAAGTTCATGCTCACATTGATACAAAGTAGATAGAAAGATCAAAAACTCTAAATTAGGTAGAAGGACAATGTGCTTTGATATAATCGAAAGGTAAGGTCAAGATTTAGCTTTTTAAATGCTCAAATACCTTGAACTGCTAATTTACACCGAAAAACTTCGTAAAATATTTGCAACCATACCTTTTATCGAGTTTCTCATTTGTTGAACGTTCAACAACACCCCTCTGATGAGAGAATAGTTGAAAAGACGCTTTTCCACGATATTGACCCATTCCCGAGGAGTCAACACCTCCAAAGTTCATCCCATTTGCTGAAAATAAAATAAATCACAATGACTATTTATTAATTTATGAAGACGATTTTCCTTCATGTGTTGTAATCATGCCAAGGTTTGCAAAATTCGCTTTCAAATTATCATTCAAGTTGAAACCCATACATCTACGTTAGTTCCAATCAACTTCGAGTTGGTACTAACCACTAAATACAATTGGCCTTTCTTCCACTTAGCTTTGAGGTTTGTAAAACCAATTATTGCCTCTTCTTCTGCGTCTATCTATTACATACAAATGCTTCATTTCTCGCCCAGTGAGTTAAGCTCAACCAACGAAAATTATAGTGATCATTAAATGCCCACCTTTTGATACAAATTAACACTTACTTCCCTGTCTAATCTTTAATACGGACTTAATAACACTTAGAAGACCGAATTTCTCTTCCGATCGAAGTAACAGACTGTTCACTGTCGTCGATTAATTAGAAGCTATCGAAAGAAAGAGCTGAGTGTCATCGGAGCTATTTTCAGATAATTAAGTTAGAAATTAGAATATCTATAATCATGAACTTAAGTCCTAATCGACTTGATTTTGAAAAATTGGTCATCAAAGAGCTTGGCGGTAGATAAAATCGAGGGTAATAACTATATTGATAAAACTAATCATACATTGATCATAAATGGAATATCTTCGAAAGGTATGAATAAGTCGTTCACTGAATATAAAATATTTTGAAACCTCACGGTGATCTGATCAATTTCCAAATTCGATTTGTTGGTCATTCATCTGCAAGCTCTCGAGAAGCTAGAGATTAGTTATTGATTTATGGGGTGTGCGATAGACTTACCTCCACGTGGTGCACCCTGGGCATCGTATATTCATACGGCAAAAAGTCTATTAACTGGCAGTTGACTTCTGACTTCCAACTACCATCACCTCACTCTATACCATATTCGACTATTTCACAGTACTCACCTCACCTTTTTTCTACCATTGTGTTTGTCTCTTACATTTTGAAACACTCTTCTGTCCCCCCCCCCTCTCGACTTTTTTCAATTTGATGTTCTTTCCCCTCTGTGAAGCCTGAAGCCAACTAAAGGGCTAATGATAGCTATCAAGACGCCTGCCATTTGAAATAAATAAGTTATTGATGTGTTACCAATTAAATTATACCACAACAAAAGTGAACTCCTTGAATGGAAAGGTTAAACCAAGGGAAGCATATCTCATATGACTTTTCTTTCTTCTAATCTTCACAATTATCTTCCATTAGAATTTAATCGAGTGTACACGCCCTCCTCTGTTAATAAATGACCTTAGTTAGAACTAGTGTGTTGTGAAATTTAATTCATTATTGAATATGTACCAAATAATCGGCCCAGACCATGAATAACCTCAGTAATTATTGAAATCTTGATTAAAAAATTGATTATTCGCCGGTTGTAGAAGGGACGTTTAAATCAAAAAAAAAAGAATAAGAAAAGAAGAAAAGCGAAAAGAAACTAACCTTTAAGATACGTCAAAAAAAACAACCAATGACAATTCGAAATTATCATAAATATCAACTAAATGTATTGAGGATATCACTCATTAGAAAACAACTATTGAAAAATCCACACCCTTGTGTGCAAATCAACAATAACTTTGCAAGACTCAAAAAAGCTTCGAGGTTAGACACATCATGATTATTGAACTTTTACTGACCTTTGCAATGTTTAAAGTTAAATAAGTAAATATTGACATAATTCCATTGGAAATAGCAGAACCACTGACGGAACTATTTCTTCCAATCCAAAATTTTGCTAAATCGAAATTCGTTTTCTAATGTTAGCTTATTTAACAGACAACGAAAGTACGAGGTTAGAGACTGGAAATGTCACACCGCGTTCTCCACGTTCTCAAAATTTTCAATGAGCTTGATTCCGTGAGTCATTTAACTGGCACGAATAATTAGATTTAGTTGCACAGATAAAAAAAACTGGCAATATTGTCACAATTGATTGCAATATTAATAGTAAAGTGTGTGTGCTTACGCCCTTTAAACATCACAACATCATTTAGTATTATACCACCGGATGAGGTGCACTTCTTCCAGACGTCAAATATCGCTTTCTCTTTGGCAAAAATATACACAGCCTGGGGTTTCGGTCTAAAGAAAGGCAAAAGAAACTATAAAAAAGAAACAAAGCTTACAAATTGCGCACATATTCTAAGGCGTCACTTGACGATTTTACTGAGATTACTGGCAAAACTGGTCCATATATCTGGAAAATGAATTCATTTCATTAAGATTAACTTTTTTGATGAAAATAGATAACTCACCTCATGTTGCATGAGTGCATCAGTTTCGAGGACATTAGATATGACAGTAGGCTGAACGAATCTGCGCTGAACACTTGTCACTCCGCCGAACTCAAGAATTCCCCGTGTTTCCAGCATGAGCTCTTTCAGGCGCCTAAAACGTGTCCATAAATGTCATCAACCAACCTCGCTTTGTGAAAGGCAAAACAGGGTTTATTATCTAATGAATAGGACATGAGAACTTACTGAGTATGCGCCTGGCTCACAATTCGACCATAGTCGTCAGTATCCACATTTGGTAGCTCATTGTAAAAACCTAGTAAGGCATTTCTACACGCCCTTACGAACCGAGGCTAAAATAAAGATAGGAAAAAATAATGCCTTAGCTGTAGTCCATATTTATTGGTCAATAGTAAACCAATGAGGCCTCGCCTGGATATCTAGATGACATAGAGCGTAATCAGGCGCCAGGGACGATTGACCACAATTATAAATCTTTCCCCACATTATACGTTTAGCAGATAGCTCAACATCTGCAGAGTCGTCGATATATGCAGGACTAGTGAGAATGTTAATGAAGCTTACATATTGTACCATTTTCCACTTAGATCCAGACATACTGGGGTTATAGTCTTAGCAGCTTCTGACATAATGAAAGCACCATCACTGCTAACTCCAGAGAAGAAAATAAAGTCCATCTTGTTTTCATCAATAAATTCTCTAGTTTCGTCTAAGGTACAACTTAAAACTTGGCAGATACTCTAAAGAAATGGCGAAAACGAAAATCAATCAATTTACTCTATCGAGGTATTTTGGAATCTGTTCATATAAAAGTTCTCCTGTTTCTGTTGATAATTCATTTGGTTTAATAACTACACAATTTCCAGCCGCAATAGCGCCGGCAAAAGGAATCATTAAGCTCTGAAACGGAGAGCTCCATGATCCAATAATCAATACTGTTCCTAAAGGATGAAATTCAGTTCGGCATTTGTCTTTTCGAAAATGACGGAATTTAGGAACCTATGAAGCATTATATATCAATTAACTATAAATACTTTACTTTTATTGGTTTAATCCAGGATTTAAGATGTTTTAAAAGGTTTTGAATTTCATATTTTGTAATAGAAATCTCCGACATTATAATTTCATGCCTAGGCTGCAAATTAAGTATAAGATTTTGAACATGAAAACAATTACCCTTCCCAGATCGCCGGATATGGCGTTTATAATTTTATGTTCCTTTTCAGTCACAAAGCTAAGTAAAGATTTCAATTGAGTTATTCTCTCTGAAAGATCCATAGGCCAATTTATTCGATTAAACGAACGTAATGCCCCACAATCTACTTCTGAAAACTGTCGCATAATGTGGATAGCTCAAATATGAAACAATAAGAGAGAGAAAATCTATGTTAAAAGATCCCCTACAATAAAGAGCAATTTTTATCAGCGTGCCTTATTTTGGCAACCTTGAAATCGCCAACATGACAGACTTAAACTAACTACGTTGCAACTATTCCAGATAATTTGTTAATTATTTATGACAACATTTGACTATTCTATTTTATATTACGGGAAATTAATTTTATCATGTAATCCATTTATTAATAAATTCAAGGCTAAATAAATTTTATTTAGGCTTCAAAGTTTAAGACAAATCATGATTAGAAATTTTCATGTAAATTGCTCAACTATGTTAATTAAAAATATTGCTGGCGAATCATTAATATTATATAATTCATATATCTTTTTGGACAATTGCTGCATCAGGAATTGAAACGCTACATGCTCCCATTATTTCTATATTCATGAATGCGTTTACAAAAAATCGCTCTAATCCCCCATTGGGCTATTGTACTTTGTCCTTTGCGAACTGTGTGGCCTCAGTTTAGCTAGATTGGCCGCCATAAGTTCATTCAGGTATATTACAAATTATCGATCTTTTTCCTGGTTTTCAAATAAACTACGATGTCCCAATTGCTTGCTTCTCAGATACATATTTCATTCAAATCTAATATATATATCTAATTGTTTCTAAATTTTGGAATTTACTAAAGGTTTGCATTGAAGTGATCTATGCATTGCACAGCATATTAAACCAAATTATACGATTTGCAATGTAAATATTATCTATTTAATCATTATACCTACTATTTAGATAATCGGTTAATGTGAAACAATCTGTTATATATAGGAAAATTTTGACTAAGTTAGGCGACTTTACTCGACAAATAAACTTCATAAACTTCATAAATAAATAAAATTTTGATAAGTTTAACTCGCATTGCCGATGATTAGGATGTGTATGCAGATATATTAGCTTTACAATCTTTTAACTGAAGTAGATTCTCTCTTTTCATATCTGCTTATAAATTTAGACTTCCGACTCATTTTGCTTGGAAACAAGATTTATGAACAAACAAAAATATTTAACTATTGCATTAAAACCGAGGTGCAAACACGAGCCATCGGACTAATTGTTAGCTGAGTAAATAAATCACCAGGAATGCAGCATGAAAAATTAATAACAAAATTTATTTGCAGAAAAAAGTTGCAATTTATTTGAATTACAAATACTAATGACCGGACTAACCATCTTTGGATTTCAATTTCTTCAAATGAAATCAAGAATTATGACAGCAAATTGAATGGCGCTCTATCTTCGAAAAATTGAGGTAGTATGAATTTAATTTTTTGAAGATAGCAAAAGTGCAAATTTAACAAATGGCTGATAAGTACCACGATCAACTTTTCAATCTGAGCTCGGTACTGTGCAGATGAAAATATTGAACCCAATCGCCTTCGTTATTCTCCTCAATCCTATTATTAAGTTTAAAACTTATGCAAATGCTTGGCCAAGAGGTATAATATGCATTTGATGTATAAATTGGTATAATGTAGATGCTGGGAACATGCCATTGATTTCACCATAAATGTTTGGGGTCATCAGGAATGTCAACTCAGTTTTCATAATATACATATAAATGAAAGAGAGAGAATAATGGTCACGCAGGCACTTTATCAACTTTACCTATAAAGTTTAAATTAGCAAATGGGTCAAAAATATAAAAATGTTGTTTATGGGAAATATTGGAAAATAAATAATGAAAATATTATTTTCACAAATGAAAATGGGTAATCAAACATTTGCGCATTTCGGTATTTTTCTTCAGCCTTGAGTAGGTCATCAGTAGCTTAGTAAAGTAGGTATTTACTATACCACAGCACCCTGAAGTCAATGTTGATTTTGCGAAGAATATATATATAGGTTAATTGCAAAAGGATATGGGGATGCAGGTGTGCCCCAAATAACTGTCAAGATTCCAGGAAAGTTGCGAGCTCGAAGGCTGACAAGCATGAGGGGAGACTACGAGACAAACTGTGGGAATTAATGACCTCCTGACAAAACATAAACAAAAGCACTGCTGCTATGAGCTTTGCTTTTCAGTTTACTAAAACAACTGGAGATACTATGCCGGCGGTTCCTCCCACAAGGTCAGTTATGCCCAACGGTAGATACATCGGAGTGGTGCCAGTAGTGATTATATGTCCACACCTATATTATTTAAACGAAATTTTTTTATGACGCCTTTCTATAATATATATATACGATATAATATAATATGATATTTCCCTGATGTTTATTTACATTTACTGAAAGAGGCAGTTACCTTTAAGAGACATTGCTCTATACTCGAATAGCTTCATGCATGGCCTAATAAAGCATAGTCTCCATGTATGGATTTGTGAAAATAAATAAAACGAATAAAATTTGTTATATGTGAAGAAAAATAATTTTAAATTATTCATTATTAGGCAAATAGATGTAAATTTTAGCGACAATTAAAATTTTCTATTCGGATGACTGAACTTGAGAAGGAACTCTGGAGCACACAGCTTTAAAGTAAACGATGTCAAGCTCTAACATTCTGGAACTTGCGACTGAACTGCTGAGGGAGCAAATGAGGTCACCAGTGAAGAGGCCTCTCAACCAATCAACAATCAATAGTCATTACAGGGACACCGTACCCAAAGTACTATTTAATGACTAAGCTCTGTTCTAGTTTCTGGAATGCATGCCACACAATTATTACCACCTCAATAGTTGCATCCCACGTCATGTGTTCTATGTCCTCGATAGCGTTGAAGTAGCTTAACTAATTTCGGAAGCCATTCCATACCGAGATTAAATTTAGGCTTATTAGTATGACAATCCCCTGCAAAACCACCTGCTAATATTAATGTAAATAAGACAATGCATAAATTTTCCCTAATTAGTCTTTTCAAAATTTAATTGAGTTGTTTGTTGCTGATTGGAAAGACCATGTTCAAGAGCCTGAATCGCGTGATTTGCTTCAGGATAGAAATTCTTATTCTATATTCTCTCAGTGGTCCGCCAGTCCATATTCCTTCAGGAACATACAAGCTTGTATGAACTTTGATATATTTAAAGAAAACCGTTACCAGTTAGGCAATGAATTGATTTTCAATAATATATAAAGTAAATTAATGAAAATCAATAGAATGTTTTGGGCATAAATAAAGCATGATTTAAATGAGTATGAATTGGGTGCAGAGGTCGACAAGAACATTTTTTGATAATGTGAAGCCAAAACATTGCTACTAACGCACTAAACTCACAAATTTTCAAATTACCGCGGAAATTTATAATTATAAGTAAAATATTAATGCTCAGTAGCCGACTGGGACATACCATCTAATAAGTGAAAAAAATCAAGCACCATAGGCACTCTGTTTGTTACGTAACAAAGTTTTCTTACGAAAGGCAGAATGCTGTTCTCAAATACGCGATTTCTCCTTATTTCGCATCAAATGCATGCGTCTATTTGGTTAACCATAATATGACATAAGTTGACATTTACCCCTCCCCTTAAAAAGAATTTCACAGTGTAATTACTAATTAAAGATTGAAAGAATTTGCCATAATGGGAAAATTTGTGCTTCCTTAAGAAGAGCTTTTTCTCTCATTGCCTTATTAAAAATGATTTTACTCAGAAGTTACCGCATTGTCTTTTTTTGCCGGCAGAATCAATGAGTATTCTTCGAGTAATCTTGAACTTGTTGCGTTCATAACATTTATTTATTTATTTTAAATGGCAGGCGTTTTGATAGCTATCATTAGCCCTTTAATTGACTTCGGGCTTCACAGAGGGAAGGTTAATCAAAGTAGCAGAAAGTCGAGGGGTGGGTAACAGAAGAGCGATTCACAGATGTAAAAGAGGCAGACAGACACAAAGGCAGAGAAAAAGGTAAGATGAGTACTGTGAAAGCGGTCGAATATGACAAGCAGTCGTGCCATGGTATTTTGAAGTCAGAAGTCGACTGCCGGCTAATAGACTTTTTTGCCGTATGAGTATACGTTGCCCAGGGTGCACCACGTGGAGATAAGTCTATCGCACACCCCACGTTCATAACATTCAAGGGGCAATAATAAGTCCACTGGGCTTTGCCATTTAAAGAAAATTATTAGTCCCACCTACGGGTTAATGATTGCATGAAGTTGAGTGGTATGATCGACCATTCACTCGTAATCAACACACTCGGATACCCATGGGAATGAACAATACCCACAATGAGGGCTTCGACAATCAAATCCTTTTTCGAATTTAAACAAAGCGATCTGTGACTATTCCATCTTTACATGCACACTTATTCGATCGAATGCAATCAGTCTTTGAGGATTTGCCACTATTTTTATGTTAAGATGGGTGGGGTGTGGGATAGACTTACGTCCACGTGGTGCACCCTGAGCAACGTACACTCATATGGCAAAAAAGTTTATTAACTGACAGTTGACTTCTAACTTCAAATTACCATGACCCCACTCTATGTCATATTCGACTCCTTCCACAGTACTAACCTTACCTTTTCTCTACCTTTGTGTCTGTCTGTCTCTTTACATCTATGAATCATTATTCTGTCCCCCTCTTGACTTTTTGTCACTTTGATGTTCCTCCTCCTCCTCTCTGTGAAGCCCGAAGTCAGCTAAAGGGCTAATGATA